GGTGTCTTCGGTAAACACTATTCTAAACACGACCTCGGTGGTGTTCCCAATGCTGAACCTGAATCGAGAAATGCGACAACGGCAATAATATTGTTGAAATACAATTTGTACTCACTACTTGTGAATATCATACGTATGGCTAAAGCGATGTTATTTACTGTTCATCTCCCCAGTGTCACCCTGAATTCTCCCGACATAGAAGTAAATTCACGACAAACCTATTTATGGTTCCATTTTGTACACAAAACACCAATCTGACATTCTTTGGCAAGAGGTAACTCCATTTTAGACAAAATTATAATAAAGTACCTCCAGTTCTTGTCCCTCCATTTACTTTCATCCGTCTCAACCAGTGATTACTGTTTATTTCTTCTAAAGCCTAAGATATTTCAGCAATTTAGGCAAACTAATCAAATTAAAATCTGTCTCCGTGGCATATCACGTGAATGCATTCGTCTTCTTCAAATATCTCCATCCGATACAGCTTCCTGGTTCTCCTTTGAGATTTCATTGAACAGCAGCATTACTCTCTTCGTCAATACAGTCAACTCCCTCTTTGAAATCTGTTGTCCCTTGGAAACTCTATAGTTCTCTCGAATGATCGTCATGCCTCTCTGAAACTCAAAACATTAGGAAGACACAAGGAACACATCTACAAAAGCCGAAACTCCCGCATGGTTGGACACATTTACACATCTAAACCGCTCGAGAACAGTTATTGTTCCAGGGAACGGTACTTAATCCGTTGTTGTTTTTAATCTACATCAGTGACCTGTTAGCGAGTTCTCCATCTCAATTATTTAAATAAGCTGACGAAATAGTCCTTTGTTACCCATTTATGCGCCTATGGATTTTCTAAATTTCTCCCGCCATCTATTGCATATCTGCAAATTTTTCATTCTCTGTTGACTGTCCCTTAATTTATCTAAGTGCTTCGAATGCACTTTTACCTTCTTTCGACCCGTTTTTCCCTGTGATTCCTCGAGCACAAACACAAATCCTCCAACTAGAGTAGATTCCATGAAGTACTTAGGAGTTATCATTGACATAAAATTAAGTAATTGTCCTATAATTTACTACTGTGTAAAGAAACTTCGTGGATTATGCTTTCAACTTCGAAGACTTAGAAAGTTCTATACCATACAAAAATTCATTTCGCTTTCATTATTTTAAAACAAATTTTTCCAATTCCTTCTTTATTGTTTCCGGGTGGTTTTGACTCGGCTACTTAAAATTGATTTCAAACTCCTTCTTCGCGGTTTGTTTATTATCAGTCGTGTGTCTTTTATACCGGTTGACGGTCTATCGAAAAACTGTGTGAATTACACTTGTTCACAAACAAAATATTTGCACAGAGAATCCTCTTTGACCTCATTCATAATTTACATGCGATCCCAACAAATGCCGCTCTCATTCATCTACGCGCTCCGTATGTCGTGCATCACCCCCTGGTATTAAACTCTACAGAAATTCTACAGTTCCCTATCTCGCTAGAATCCTTGCAAACCGACAGTGAGTTTCTTCTGAATATCCCAAAAACCTCGAGGAGATTCAATATTTTACTCTTCCCTTCTTTCTATGAGATGTATAATTTTTGACTAAAATGCGGACATCTCTGCACGCAAAGTCTGTACAATTACAAAGGCAAAATACGATAGCGTGATTGATATGTTGGTGTTTGAGAGACTTCTTTCCAAACAGTCAGTTTGACATTTCATTCCATTTTATTGCATTATTTTCTCGTGACGGGTGTTACCGAAAACGAGATCTAGTGCTTGAGCGTAATGGGTAGTTAAAAAGGTCACTGTGAAAATAGTGTCTGATTCTCAATAATGTTTATTGAAACTTGGTATTACACTTGGCCTTTTAGTTTTTACAGTGGAATGTCACTGGTGATGGATGAACAACTAACTGAATTTCGGTCAAGTCTTGGCACAGATTAGAACCGTCAACAGACAGGAAGTTCTTCACGGAGATCAGCTGACAATCTGTAGAGGAAGTAAACTACGCTTATCATGATTGTAAACATCACCAGAATAAACAAATCAAGAGAGATGCGAAAAGTGGCGAAGCAAATGATACCGAGTTTAACCAGTTTGTTAACAGTGTCTTGATAACCAACAAAACCCAGAATGAAAAAATCAGGAAGGATGAAGACAGAATTGTTTTTCGACCTCAGAAAACCAAACTTATTTCTGTTATGATTCATTAAAAATAATTCATTATTATTGGAAATGTGTTTGTTATGTGAATGTGAACTAGTATAAATTTAAGTTTGAGTATTTCCCATTAAAGTGCCTTATGTGGCTCATTACCTGAGTGATACGAGGCAAATTCGGCTGCGACACGCTACGTCATGTTCAGTTACACAATAGCCAATATGATTGCCACACAGGATACGTGAACAGCGATCACCAAGATGGATCGAGTTCATCAATTGACGCAGTCTCCACCCTCATTCATTTTATCACTAAATCTTTGAACAACTCTGTCCAGTCTGTTGGGTGCTTTTTTTCTGGATTACGCTTCTGCATTTGATTCCTTTACTTGATCTAGTTTTTTACAAAACCTGGAATCCTTTGAATGCCCCGAGCAGTTGTTATCTTAACTGTCCAAATATTTTACTCATAGGGTACAAACCACTAGATTGGGGAAGTCTTCATCTAAACCCTTAGCCAAGAACTCCGGGTTTCTTCAAGGAGATGTGCTATCTCCATACTTATTTGCCACTTATATTTGTGATATTCCCGGTGTTTCTCCCGCACGTATTTGAAATATGCCGATGATGTCGTGTTGTGCCAGCCCATTTCTTCTTACTCCGATCTAAGCTCCTTCACCGTCAATCTTGATCAAATTCAGTCATTCTCCTCTTCATGGGGGCTGACCCTACACCCCAATAAATGTGTTGAGTGTTCATATAGTTTTGTTTGCTCCCCATATACAACAGACCTCAGAGTGAATAATAACAATCCTTTATCTAGGGTGAACCCTGTCAAATTTCTTGGTGTAACCATAGATAGCAATCTTCATTGGTCAACGCACATCCACAACAGCATTGGTAAACTGCGACGCCTTTCATTTCAAATACGAAAGCTCAGGCAGTTTCGCGCATCCCAGTTAATTATTTCTACTTTTACCTTAATCTACTGTTCCCCAGTTATTTTTCCTGGCTTATTCAGACAGGATTTCAAAGTTTTACGCCGCGGTCTAAGCATTATTAGTCGTATCTGTTCTATTCCTGTGAATGAGTTAGCTTGAAAGCTTTCAGAGTAACGCGTAACTTTCTGTGTGAAATTTGCCGAGAGGATTCTCACAGATCCTGACCACCCATTGCATGCAGAACTGACACTTTATCGTTCCCATCATTCAACACGCCCCCAACTACGTCGCATTTCGTCTCAAATTAAAAATTACCGCACTTCATCTATACCGTATCTTGTTCGCCTACTCATAAACAAGGAGCGAACAATAAGTAAACTTTGTCTTATCCTTGCATAATGAAATGTCCACAAGTCTGTGAAAACGTCTCTCACAGTTTATTATGTACATTTTGAGGGTTAGGGTATATGATGTTTTTACCTAAAATGTGAGCTCCAGTGCTTGCAAAAGTTATACACGATACAATAGTTAAGCAGAAATAGCTTAGACATTCCGATGTATGCCTGAAATTTTTAGCTTAATTGTCCTAATATACCATCATTAAACATTGTAAGAAAACAGAGTAGTGAACAAGCTCCTTTACCAATATATCACAATTTACATCAAACTGTCTAGAACGGAGGAGAAATCAAGACAAGTTAGAAAAGAAATAATAAACATTCCAGTTCCATGATCAGATGTTGTTCACACTTTGGTCCTCAAACATGCGCAATGGTCCAGATCATTAGGATTATGTGGTGTTGGCCATGGAAGACCGAGTGATCTTACGAATTGTTTTTGGTAGCCTATTGGGGGGGTATGTAAGTGGCTTCCACACGCTTCCGCTATGGCCAAAATGCGACTCCTAATCCTCTTTGATCGACGGCTGCGAACTAAGCAGGGTGTTCGAAACGCCATGGGCCACTTTACCTAAGTGGTTTGATTCCACTAACTGTGAAATGATTGAGCTGCTGATAGTCTTAATTACACCACTATTCTACCAGACTGAGTGGTGCTCACGGACTATTTCAGATAAATCTGCTCTTGCGGCCACTATAACTTGTCCCACGGGAATAGGTAAACACAGAAAGAGACTGCAGAAACAGGCAATTCATCGCTAGGTTGAAAGCACCGAAGTGGTCTGGAGATGAACACAATGCGCGATTTTGCTGCGTGGAATGCGTTTTATACAACCATGCTCAAGTTACGTGTCACCATTTCGATAGCTATGTCACCCCTCAAAGGGGGCGATATGTAGACCAATTTCTTCCCCGCAGTAGTGGCCTTATTTCGCAACCGGTGACACTCCGAAATGTTGTCCATAAATTGCTCTGGGTATCCGTTTTGAAGGAAAGCGTCTCGAATAAACCACATTTCTGTATTAATGATATTGTCCGTACATATTCTCCGTTCGTTGATAGCTGAATCAGGCTTATTTTCCGTTCCAAATAAATATACTGATTGTTCCACGATGTCTTCCGGTGGATGGAGCGTTGGGTAGTTCCGTCTTGTCGACGGCTTCGTAGAACATCCAGAAATGCGATTTGCTCATTCTCTTCGTTCTCTAGTGTAAACGACGACTGAATTAAATATTTTCAAGGATCTTTACAGATGCACACTGTTGTTGATAAAGCACAAAATGTCATCCACATAGCGCAACGATCGATTGTTTGTTTTAGGATGTTATCCTCCAGCTTCGCCGTGAAGATCTCTGCGAACAGTGATAGGTTCGCGGGAGTTGTACAACAAACAATTTTCATGTAGCCAAAACAATTGCATTTCCTCATTTAACATTCTTGTAAATCAGCGGAAACGATTCACCTTTTGGTTGAAAATTTCTTTCTTGTGTAGAATTGAAGAAGATGCGCGGTGAGTCAGTGATACAAATTTCACTGCACCAATCTGTAAAGGAAAGATTCGTGTTGCGCCACCAGTTAAAAGATTGAGAATACGGCAGCGAGCGCTCAATTTAAGACCACGTGTTATACATCTCGATAGTTCAGTGTAAATCAACAGAGACAGACTGAAGTTGTAACGGCATTGAAACCGGAATGGCCGGGCATGTGTTCAGTACTAATAATTGCCTTACGTTCTCTGTTCCTTTCAGGCGCACAATGGTTGAACGCGGCGAGCACTAATAACGAAGAACCAGAACCAAAACATGAGAACTTATAATCACTACGATCCTTATGTACCTTCCCCCCCCCAGAGACAGTTGTACAATGCTTTTTGCCACTCGTTCCGTGCATCAATATATGTTGTGTGCGACGACCGTGTTTTCCCTGTGTGAGCGTATCTGACAGTGAGAGGTGTAATCGAGTGCTGGTGATAACGCATATCTACTGCAATTATTTCAGAGCGTTCCTGTGGACCTTTCTACGTGTCGCGTGAGCCCCTTACCCACTTCACATTTGGTGTCAGAGGTGGGATGATGGAAGACCGAAAGGAAGAGCAATCGACAGCAGCCACCCCCGTCTTACGTCCCCTAATTTTAGCAGATGGAGCACAGCTCCGTCAACCGAATGTGTTTTCTCCGGGGGACGATTTTGAGTTGTGGAAAGTACGAATTAGGAACTATCTGCGCATGCAGCCGGCGACGGAGCTGCAGTCTTTCATTATCGGATATCTTTCCGACAACGCAGCAAGACGGTTCCTCAGTTTCTGCCTAACCCCGGACACTGACCCCGAAACGGTAAGCAGCCGATTAAGGCGGCTATTTGGCGAAACTACACCGGCCGGCATCTACCTTGGACGCTTCCTGGAGCGTAAGCAAACCGAGTCCGAGTCATTACAGGACTATCTCGGAGCGCTACAGGAACTGGCGCTCCGAGCGTTTCCCGAAGAGGCCGAAAAGAAGGTGTTAGATCAATTTCGCACCGGCATCCATGGGCTTGAAGCTCGGGTCCAACTACTGCGTCGTCCCCCGTCGACATTAGACGAAGCGGTGGAGGTCGCCACTAACTTTGAGATGGTCGAACAAACGAGGGAATCTTGCAATGCATTAACCATAGGCACACGTCCAAGCCCCGATCTCAGGGCCCCCGTTCGCTTAGCTCGCAGTCGGGAGCGCAAATGGAGTACTTCCCGGAAGGACTGCCCGTACTGTGTTCGGTTCGGTCGACGGGCTCAGCGTTGTGGGCACAACCTCCCGATACAACCCAAACCGCGAACAGGTAGGCGACCAGACAAAATCTTGTTACCACTGTTTTTACTTACCTGGTGCTCCGGTCCGTCGCCTTTTATACTTCCTAGTCGCATTCCAGACAAGCGTGTGGTGGTGTTGATCGACACTAGAGCGACCTGCTCCATAGTGCGAACCGAGCTGGTGAAAGGCATGCAACGGACTCCCACCCCCGGGCTCGTTGTGGTGACGGCTAATTGCACTCGAGTAAATTCTCAGGGAAAGGTCGTCTTAACACTGGAGCTCGCAGGCAGAAGGATAACACACGTTCTTGGTGGCGGCATTCAGCTGGGATATAATAGTGGGGATTGATCTACCGGCCACGCACGGCGCCCACATCGATGTACAACGAAAAATGGTATCATTCACATCGCCGGAGGAACTCGAATCCTACACCCAGGTCGAGACGGCAGTGGAGTCATCTGAGGCAGTTGATGACAACAAGAACGGGCAAGAGGAGCGCGTCCAAACGGCCCCAATCATCTCGTGTCACCGGCCTAAACGCAGTCCAATTGGTTCGACATTCTCCTCACACGCTCACAGGTAGCGCCCGACCATAGAAGATCGTTGATACCGATACTATCAGAATATGCTGATGTTTTTGACGTGAACCGCACCGCCCCGGGCCGTACGAATTGGTTACAATACTACATCGACACCGGTAGTCCCTATCCACCAACAGGCCAAGTTGAAGCAAATGCTAGAGGAAATGCTTCGCAACAACATCATCAATCCGTCTTTGTCTCCTTGGGCGTCATCAATTGTGTTGGTCAAAAAGAAAGACGGGTCGCTTCGCCTGTGCGTTGACTATCGGAAGCTCAACGCGGTCACGGGGCTCGATTCTTTTCAACGTTAGATCTAGCCTCAGGGTACTGGCAAGTGAATATCCGCCCCCAAAATAGAGCGAAAACGGCCTTCGTGGTCTCTCCGGCCTCTATGAACTCAATACGATGCCATTCGGCCTCACAAATGCACCAGCGACGTTCCAGCGCCTAATGCAAAAAGTACTGAACAAACTGGTTCCACATATATGCCTGGTTTACCTGGACGATATAATCGTTTTCGCTGCGACAATCACGGAGCATAATAGACGCCTAAAGTAGGTACTCACCAGACTTCGCATAGCAGGTCTAACTCTAAAAACTTCAAAACGCAATCTACTACGAAGAGAAGTACCATACTTGGGACACATCCTGTCTAAAAGTGGTGTTCAGGTAGACCCCAGCAAGGTGGAACGGATCGTACAATGGCCTGCACCGAAGTCATCTGAGGATATTCGTTCTTTTCTTGGCCTGGCGTCATACTATAGAAGGTACGTCCAAGACTTCGCGGCTGTCGATACCCTACTCCATCGTCTTATGGAAAAAGGACGAAACTTCTTGTGGACAAACGAAAGCGCAACTGCATTTGAACGACTAAAAGCGGCCCTCACGACACCTCCCATCCTCGCATTACCGGACACAACACCGATAGGCAGCCCCCTTCATCCTTAATACCGACGCCAGCGAATTTGCCATCGGGGCGGTGTTGTCACAAACTCAATCGGGCACGGAACGTGTCATAGTCTATGCTAGTCGCGGCCTTGACAAATGCGAACGAAACTATTGCACAACGCGACGGGAGATGCTAGCACTGATCTACTTTTTGAAATATTTTCGCCCGTACCTACTAGAAAAGCCCTTCATTGTCCGTACCGATCACCACTCACTCCAGTGGCTTCAAAATTGCAAAGACCCCTGGGCCATGTGGCTCGATGGCAAGAACAACTCCAAGAGTACAGCTTTACTTGTCAGTACCGTCGAGGAAAACAACACGGAAACGCCGACGCGATGTCAAGATTGCCAGCAGATACTTCTCCAACAATTACTGTTTGCCAGTTGATGACTAATACCCAACAATGCAGGAACAAGACCCGGACATTCAGCTGATATACCACCGTCAACAGTCGGGGGCACCTAAGCCGACCGGACGCGAAATGAGTGGCCAGTCCATTGCCGCCAAAGGCCTAAGAACATGTGGTCAAAAATACAATTCATTGACGGGATCCTATATCTTCGCTCCCCGGAGGCCGAGCAACCACGGATAGTAGTCCCACGATCGCTGGTTACAGAAGTTGTCAGCTCCGTCCACCTGGATAGTGGTCACGCCGGTCAGCGAAAAACCGAGGCAGCGATTCGACAGAGATATCGGTGGCCTTTAATCCATCACGATGTTACTATCTTTTGCCGACACTGTGACACTTGTCAGCAGAACAAAGGATTGAATCTCGCACCAAAAGCGTCTTTGCGGCCCATCTCGATCGCAGGTCCGAACTACTGAGTGGGTGTTGACCTTGTGGGACCACTTCCAATGACCAAGAAGGGAAACCGACACATTTTGTTAATGGTGGACTACTTCACTAAGTGGTGTGAGGCTGTGCCACTGCCACAGACTGATGCCATCGCCATCGCGTTTGTCAATGAATGAATATGTCAGTTTGGGGTCCCCCAGTTTCTTCATTCTGATCAAGGCTCTCCATTCGAAAACCACATCTTACATGCCGTTTGCCGCCTACTTTGCATTGAGAAAACTCGAACGACCGCCTACAACCCTCAGGGCAACGGCCTGGTCGAACGGACTAACCGCACGCTGAAGAACATTTTGCAGGCCATCATCGAGCGAGACCACTGGAACGAATGGGGCCAGTATCTAGGAACGGCCTACCGTGCTCGGGTCCATTCATCGACAGGACACTCCCCAGCCCTCCTCCGCCTCGGAATCGAACTCCGCTTACCCCAAGAGGTACAATCGCCACTAGCACCAGCCGAAATGATCGACATGAACGATTTCGTCCGCGGGCTCCAACAGCGCCTCTCGGCGGCTTTTCGCACCGCCCACGAAACTATTCAGTCCGAACAACAACATCAAAAATCGGCTTACGATCGAGGAGCCCAGGGCCCAAAGTACACTCGAGGGACTCTAGTGCTCTTGTACCGGCCACGCTCTGTACCAGGCACATCCCAGAGGTTCCATCAACCATGGCAGGGACCGTATATTGTCATCCACCAGCGCTCACCCAACGTATATGTGCTACGTGATCCACAACGGCCACAAGCAGACGTACTCACCGTCCACTACAACCGATTGAAGCCATACCGCACCGCAAAATCAACAGAAGTCATATCCCCACCGTCTATAGTTGTTGATCAACCACCGGTGATGTACATGGAAGTACCAGCTGAAGGCGGCGTGGCAACACAGCTTACACCACCAGCGGACACTGAGGACATTGTCCTTCTTGACAGGGGGTGGGTGAAGGGTAGCCGCATATTCGTTGTGATCGTGTTTATACCGACTGATTGAAGTTTATCTGAAATGATTTCAACGACGACCTCTATCGATTACTCTAACGTTTTGGATTACAAAATGGTTTGTGGTACCCTTCGGATAGCGGGGATCTTCACTCTTCATGTTATAGCACAATACTTATTGCTAACCCAACGAGTCAAAGCACTTGAGAACAAGCCTGAGGTCTTACGTGCTTTAGACTATACTGGACTGATCAAGAGGGACATCAAACTTCCGAATACGTCCTTTGTGCAACAATTCCTACAATTAAAGGTCCGTGATATTGTCGCCTATTGTGCGTTACAATCCATAATAGCGAATAATGCTTCTAGTTTATACACACAAAGCAGCGATTGTTGTTGGGCGGTGATGGCCCGGTGGTAAAGTCGCCAAATTGTTACCCTGGGGGTGTATGTTTGAATCCCACCACCACCACCACCAACAACAACACCTGACTTTCCACATTATTTGTGTTGTATGGCAGCCGTTTGATTGGCTGCTTTCCCCTTCCTGAAAATTGCATCTTAGTAGGTATAATGAAAGGAAGTAAGTTTACATCGCCCGGTTAACGTAAGTCTGATGCACATATAAGAAAATCGAATTTGCCCAACGTTTAACAAAAAGCAACAACGCTTCTTAATCATTGTCAGAACAGCAATGGATCCGCACCAGGGCCCGGTCCCAAACTTAATGCCCGACAAATAACTGGGTAATAATCATTATATTAAAGAAAGAGGTCTATGATTAGTCCATAGCCAGAATAATTTCAGCTTGTTCAAACAAAAGTAGATGGATCTAGTTCTGGATTCGGAACCGGAGCCTGCGGTAAATCAAAGTCTGATCCACACGACAGTGAGGCGGCGAGTTGATCCCAAATGATGTTAACAAAGTAAATGCATCTCCCATCCATTTAATTTTATTCTGTGAAACTCATTGAACTGAGGATAATGCGGGAATAGTTGTTAACCAAAAAATTAATTAATTTATTCGAGCTGGAATATTTTAATTAATGGCCGAATTAAAAGAACTAAGCAATTTGGAATAGGTGTGCTCAGCTTAATAATTATTCGAATGAAAAAGAAATCATTCATGAAAAGGAAGGAATTCGCAATATACATTGCACAAAATATTTTCCAAATATGAGGCGTAACTGTTAAAATAATACAAATTTTTAATCGCAAAACTCAAGGTCGCGCAAATTCAAACGGCGATAGAAGCGAACTCAGGACATACATGTGGGAGATAAAGCCAGGAATTGACACACTTTTTGCGATAGCCATCACTATAAAAGTATGATGTTGGACACTGAAATGTTAAATTAAATTTTCGAAACAAAAATAGTCACAAGGTCATCTATTTCAAAGCGCAACATGACAAACAAAAATGTAATTTCTCTCGCTTCGAATCACCTGTGCGCAGCTGCAATTCAAAGCATGTAACAATCAGAATAAGGTGTCATCAATCCTGATTCCATCTTCCTTTGTTACACCCCCCAACGGTTGTCAACGGAATCATTTCACTTGCTGTGGAGTTCACCTTTCGTTTTGTACTCTTTTGAAATTCCCGCCTATCTTCACACATCCGTTCAGCAATATTTAGAAACCCGATGTGGTATAGCTGTACCTATATATAAATATATAAATATATATATATATATAGGTGTTCAACAAACTAGTTTAATATCACTCATTTTGCAACTACATTTCACGCTCCAATATCATACTTGTATTTTGATTTCTACTGGTAAACTGTATTTATCCCTGATTTTACCTCCCACATCTATTCTTAGTTCTCTTCCATCACCGTTTGAGTTACCGTGACCTTGAGTGTTGCGATGAAATTTGCAGTAGTTCTAAAGTTGCAGCTGAGATTCCGAAAATATTTCAAGCAAATCAGCATGGGAATTCATTCTTTGTAATAAATGGTTCCTATTCCACTAGAGTATTTATTAAGTTGAGCACATGTATTCTAAATTGATCACCTCTTTTCGACCAATGCACAGCAAATAAACAAAGCAGTGAAAATATTCTAGCTCAAATAAATTGATAAATTATTTCAATATGAAATACTCACACATTAACCACGATACTGAGAGAACTGAAAACGTAGTTCAAGAAACATACAAGGTGATCTTCGAACGTTGACCTTGGGGTGTGCGGCTCGTTGAACAAGCGTTTTGTAGTGTCACCATACCCAAACCGGATGAAACATCCAAGATATTTTGGCACATAATTGAAGCCCAGAGGTAACGTAATCGAGAGGCACATAAACCCGATGACACAGTTGTTGTCTTGTGTTTTGATGTGAACATAAATCCCATTTGGGCGGACGGTAAGGATGTACGCTCTCCCCCCACCCCTATTTCCACTCAAGCCACATTCGCCAAACTGTGAGGTTTAAAAATAGTATGCAATTGTTTTCTATCGTAATAAGTCATAATCAGCATTTCCTGGCTACTTAATAAAAAGTTGATTATGGTCGTTTTTGTTTTAATTTGTGACCTTGAAATCTTGTCGGGCAGTTCCAACCAACACAAAATCCTTGACCGAATTGAAGGTTTGGCTTTTGTTGAATACTTTCAGGATCTTGGTCTTCTTCGAAAGGATAAATTATGTGTGTGAACACCTAATATGTGTGCAGGAGTACAGTCAGAGCAAGGATGGATGTGTTTTACGTTGCTATAAATGCAAGAGATAATCCTTGATACATACTGTAACATTTTTTTGCCAAGTTCAATTCGCCTCTGGATACACTTATGGAAATCATTGTTTCGTCATGGATAAACCTGTGACGCGTGTAGCAGTAATGGCTACTGTGAGCAGGACAAGTGCCATACATTGGTACACACACTGCAGGGATATATGTACTTCTGTGCTGTGTTCATTAACCACATAACTGGGAGGACCCAATACCGTTGTGGAGGTGGATGAAACAGTTGCGTTCAAGAACAAATTCGGCAGGGGAAGATCGCATTCGACCATTTGGATTTTTGGTATGTACGATCGGAATCGAAAGGAAGGTTATTATCAACGGGTTCCTGATCGTTCCGCTAGCACCCTAATTCCCATCATAAAACAATGAGTGCTTCCAGCAAAAATACTCCTCAGTGACGAATGGGCAGCCTATCGCTCCCTCAGTTCCCTTCGTTATGTGCATTGCACGGTTAATCATTCTGTCGGATTTATTGACCCTACCATCGGTGTGCACACAAATAATTTGGAGGCATTTTGGAACCGTATAAAGAAACGACTGAAGAACGTGCACGGATCCGTTGGTGTGGTTATTTGTGGCCGTCTAGATGAGGTTAAATACAAATTACGGTTTAATTATGCATACGAAACTTTTCCGGTCGATATATCCACATTTCTAGACCATATAAGACAGAGTTATCCTTCGTAGTTTTTTTCACGATTATTTAGTAATACTTTTATATATTTTATTAGTAGTAGTGACATGCTTATTATTGTTATTAATTTTTTTGATATTTTTCTATTAATATTAAGTTCCTACAATTCCATGACTTTAGTCTTTTTATATATACTACTCACTAGTAGCTACGTTTTTATTGCATAATTGGGTTAAGGGGAGGGCATGCATTTTTAACGTTTGCCCCCATTTGTTGCAGATTCAACAAATGTCTCCTTCAAGACATAAACTGAGAGGGAGAAAATCGATCATGTCAAAGTGAGACGATGGTTGTATTTGATCACAGTAGAGAAGAGTTGCACGAAACCAATCTGGAGGATAGTGCGAGGTCCTTAGCTGTTTTTCATTACGCTTTCGTTTTAAGGCGTAGCTGAGGCCACGTGATATGAGGTCGTTATGGAACGCCAAACAAAGCAGAGCACGTATTGTTTTCATCAGCAAATTTAAATCACGTCTCCCGTCCATGTGGCAATGGGTTTATCTCACTGATGCCCAACGAGTAATTCAGCAGCCGGAGAAAGCTAACCTACTGAGATGGTTTTCCAATGAATTTTGTTTCATCTGTCAACAGAATGAAATAGTCATCCGCCTGACAAGTTAGGATGGAAGTAAATACTGAGTGCCTTGTTATTGGTCTACTGCACACACCTCACTGGATATCGCAAACTGTTTTGCATTGATAAGGGAGGAGTTCGATAACTATCACTTTCAAAATGCTTTCGCGTTGGTATGTCTTCTCATTTGAGGGTGTTAGTAAAACTCGGTTAGATCTAGTCGCATACTACTTTTTAACACTTATGTAGTCTTTGGAGGGTTTAAATTCAATGTCAGATTCATTCAATTACAGCGAAGCATCTGAGATCTTAATTTAACCGAAAACTTTTCCCCGTATCCGAAACAGGGATGAGTCACCTGCCTTGACATCATTTCTCAGTGGTTGGGGTGTGGGGTGTATTAAAGGAAACTGGCAAATTCTGTTTGGCAGTCACCTTTGTGGACTCCATGTTAAATTGACTACCTCCAGTGTTCAAAAGTGAAAAAAGCAAATAGTATATGCATGAGATGAAAGCACAATACCTGTATGAAGTCTGAATCATTTTATTGAATAACTTTTAGTTATTTTTTCCAAGGTGACTTTGTTATTTTACAACTGATGCACCAGCGACCATCGTCAAAATCGACAAATTGCGCATTTTGATAGCATAATAGAAGCCAAGATAGAAGTGGATTTCACATAAGATATATTCCGTCTGATGTGGGGCAATATCATATTGAATTCCGTGAGTGAGGCTAAAAAACGAAGCATTGAGAGAAACAAATATGATGAAAATCAGGATGTTGCACGAGTTTGGTCAATACCTATAAATATATATATATATTGTTGAAACAACTTTACGTGTGCCTTCTCTCGGTCTTGGTATTTCGTTACCATTTCCTCCTCTGGGTCATTCCATTTCATACGATTACACACATATTATCATAAACTGTATATCCCACTTGTCTGAGAACAGACAGTGTGTCAAGCAAGTCATGGTACAATAATCTTTATAAAAATAGGTTTCATTATGAAGGAAATGAAGTAATCCATA